CCCTCCTCCTCCGGGATTCCCTAAGGGCGGGGGGGGCCTCCTTCCCCCCAGGGAAGAGCTTCCTCACCCCCCGGAGGTGTCCCCCTCTCTCCATTAGGCGCGCCGTGGCTTCACCATGGGGCTGTATCCCCTTTTGCCCCGGGTTCCCGGGGTGGCCGCCTCGCCCCGGGGCTTGGGCCACGATTTGCAATTTCCTGGTGCCCCCGGGCCCAGGGTCCCTTGGGCTTTTTTCGGGGGGGTCATTTCTCCCAGGGCGGGAAAAAGAGGTTTTCTCAAAGGGGTTTTTCCGGGGGGGGGGGGGGGGGCATGGCAGGGGCGACATGGCGGGCGGCGGGGCGGGAGGAGGGGGCGCGGGCGGCGCGGGAGGAAGGGGAGGAGGGGGAGGCGCGGGAGGCGCGGGAGGCGCGGGAGGAGGGAGGGAGACGGGTGAGGAGGGCGAGGAGGGGGAGGAAGGGGGAGGAGGCGGGGGAGGGGGAGGAGGCGGAGGGGCCGCAGACCCGCAATAGCGATGCCAATGTTGTCGTCCACCTGGGAGAGAGGTGGGGCGAGAGGGGCGGGAGGTGGGGCGGAGGGGCGGGAGGTGGGGCGGAGGGGTGGGAGGTGGGGCGGAGGGGCGGGAGAGGGGAGGGCAGAGGGGCGGGAGAGGGGAGGGCAGAGGGGCGGGAGGTGGGGGAAAGCTGTGCAAGGACAGAGGGCGGGAGAGGCCGAGCTGCGGCGGTTGTGGGGTCGGCGGCGGCGGCGGCGGCCGTGGGACGGGCGGCGGTGGCGGCGGAGACAGCGCGCTGCTGGATGTGCGGAGCGGGAGCGGCGCGAACCGCGCCTTGAAAATCTTCTTTTGGTAGGAGGAGAGCTCGGAGGCGGAGCGCTTGAGCGTTGCGACGACGGCGTACTTGCCCGAGCGCAGGCCGATCGCCGCGCTGCCCACGTTAACCGCCTCCATCGCGTACTCGATCTGGTGAATCCGGCCGGCGGGCGACCATGTGATGCAGTCCTGACGGCGGCGGCCGGCGGTGGGAGGTTGTCGCAGTGTGCGCCTCTCCCCACCGTGCGGAGGGTGGTGTGTGGGGCGACGCCCGGCGTGTGCGCCAGTGCCGGGGTGAGGGCGACGGATGCAAGGGCGCTGAAGCAGCGGCCCGGACGGGTGGCGGCGGGGACGGGAGCGGGCGGCGGCTGTGGGAGGCGCGGAGGGAGAGTGGAGGCGCAGCGGCGGGGACGGCGCGGGAGTGGCTGCGAAGCACCGTGTCGAACTGGTTGCGGAACATCTAGCCGCGCTGGTGGGAGGGGGCGCTGTGCCGACAAGCGCCAGACGAGTGCTGCGGAAAAGAATTTCGCGGAGATACTGGCACGGACTATGTGCGTGTCGTCATCATCTGTCTAGCGTCCACCCATACCGCGTTGGTGTCCAGTCCGAGCCTGGCTGTTCTTCACCTTTCTACCTACCTACCTACCACCACAAACAAATCTGTAGGCAAATGATCGGAGTGGGAGTCAGAAACGTGGTCCTTGCGCGAGGGGAGCTCGATAGACTCGAGGGGCCAGGATACGCCGCGAGGAGGACGGAGTTGCGCCGAAAGGCGAAAGAAGCCGCGAGAACAAGGGACCGGCAGGCGGCGGCGTCACAGGACGAGGCAGAAGGGAACGACGCGACAGAGGAGGAAATGACAAGGGAGAGAACGACGAGAGTGGGAAGACCGCGAGGTGGCATGAAGGTTGCAGCGAGAATCGGAGAGAGACTGCGAAGAGAGATAGGAAGAGGCGGACTCCCTAGGGTGGGCGACGGCTAGCGCACCACACACCTCTCCTTAAAATCCCTGTGTGGTGGCGGCGTGCCGTCCTCCCATCCCTCCCTTGGGTTGTCTGTTTTCTTTCTTTCTTTCTAGCACCACAAAAGGCACAGCAGACAACGGCCCCTTATGGGCCGTCGAAGAGGCCGTCATACTCCTCTGGCCTCGCCCCCCCTTCCCAACCCCCCTGGCTCAGGCTCCTCATCCTCGCGGCGCGCAGTGCGCACCCCGCCCCGCGAAGACGAGCCCTTCCGCCGGCGTGCCTCCCGGGACTGCCGCCCGCGGCCGCCTGCGGAATTGCTCCCCGGTCCCCGTTGGCGTCCCGTGCCTCCCATCCCTCCCTTGCGTTGTCCGTTTTCTTTCTTTCTTTTCCGTGCCCCCGAGTTCATTTTAAAATACCAAGGTACGAGGCTTACGTACCTAGATACTGGGAGTTTTGTTACGAAACCACCAATACAAACAACAAAGTCTCTCTCCTCGTAGTTGGCGACGCCGAACTTGGTCACGCCCACGTGGTCGTCCTCGTCGTTCCAGCCGACGGCGGGCTCCGTGTAGTTTGCGGACCTCCCACGCCTCGCCGATGGGGACGACGGGCGTCGCTGCCTTGGCCTGCTCCTTCACGCTCATCGTGTTGGTTGCCATGGGTGTCGTTGTGGGTGTCGTTGTGGTCGGCGCGGTGTGTGTGCTGTGAAAACGGGAAAGCCTAAGTAGTAACTACCTCGCGGGAAGCAGTAACGCAAAATCCACCCATAATACAATACGTATTAATACAACAATACAATACAATACGTATAATACACTATACAGCTCAGTCTCGCTCGTATTGCGCAACCCTGCCACCGCCGCCGCGGCAAGGTTCCGGAGAAGCGGTTGTGAGACACATCAAGTGCTCTCAGTTGCGCTGAAAATGGCGGCAGTGTGCCCGACAGGCCGCCCCAAGCGACGCCCAGATATTTGAGCTGCGAGAGCTTGCGGAACGTTGGCGGCAGTGTGCCTGATAGACCGTTCTCAGTAATGGTCAGCTCCTTCAGCTGCAAGAGATCGCCCAATGTTGGCGGCAGTGTGCCCGAAATGGCGGTGACATCCATATTGAGTCTCTGCAGCTGAGAGAGCTGACCCATGTTCCCCGGTATGGATCCAGATAGGGAGGTATGAGCCAGATCTAGTCGCTGCAGCTGGGACATCTTGGCTAGCCCCGGAGGCACTGTCCCCGAGAGGAGGTTGTTGAAAGACAGGTTGAACTGCTGCAGCTGAGTGAGCTTGGCCAGCTCCGGAGGTAGGGTGCCCGAGATGTTGTTGGAAGCTAGGATGAGACCGGTGAGGGCCTTGAGGCCTCCCAGCTCAGGCGGTAGAGTGCCTGTCAGGTCGAGCTTTGAAAGGTCGAGCGCTCGCCCTGCGAACGTGCCGTTGCAGACAGCGGGCTGCGTGCCGCAGATGGTGTTTGTAGCGTGGTCGGCTACGGCGCCTGCGCAGGCTGCGGCGAGCAGGCGAAGTACGTCCATGACAAGACCGCAGCACTGGGCGTGACAGGACGCTAGTCGCCCTTGCAATTCGCGCGGTTTTCTTCACCCCCCCCTCTGAACACACCAGAGAGGGAGGGCGAGACGATCGAGGGGTCCCGTACCATGCGGAATCGACCCTATCCAGTGCTCAAGTGCTCAAGTGCGGCCAACACTAGGCACGGCGCGCACTGAAGGAGGGTGTGTAGAGGATGTAGAGTGTAGAGCGCTGTAGACGGGAGTATAATGGAGAAGTCTGTCCGCGCCTAAGGATTCTGCCATTCCTATTCTGCTCTACTACACAAGGATTCTTGCTATTCTACCTCTCACTAGATTCCCCTTCCCAGGTTCCTCTTCTGCTCAGATATTCTGATTCTCTCCCCAGACTCTCCCATCTTGGCCCCGCTTTCAGCTTCCTGATTCTCCATTCTCGTTTCCTCCGCTTCCTTTCCGATTCTCTAGGGCAGCCAGAGCCAATTCCTGATTCTGCTCCCCCCTCCCGATTCTCCTGTCTCTCTTCCTATTCTTGATGCTCCATTTGATTCCTGATTCCTGATTCCTGATTTGTCGGATCGCCCACATTTTGACCGGGATTCTGATTCCTGATTCCAGATTCCTGATTCCTGATTCCTGATTCCAACATTTTGACCGGGATTCTGATTCCTGATTCCTGATTCCTGATTCCTGATTCCTGATTCCAACATTTTGACCGGGATTCTGATTCCTGATTCCTGATTCCTGATTCCTGATTCCTGATTCCAACATTTTGACCGGGATTCTGATTCCTGATTCCTGATTCCTGATTCCTGATTCCTCGGAGTTACGCATTTCGGCGGGATCCTATGTTGGCCTGACTCTCCGAACTCCTGAGCCGATAGGATCCTGCCCGTAGTCCCATGATTTTTTCTTCGTGGCTCGGCGGCCTTTGCAGGGTTCCAACTTTTTGCGGGGCAAACGTATGGTACCATCCCGGCGCCAAAGTGCAAAGAGGGGGAGGCCGGCGTCACACCGAGGCCCCTCCCCGAAAGGGCAAGTCTTAGCCACATGCAACCGAGACCCCTCCCCCCCGCCCCGATCCCCCCTCCCCCTTGCTCCCCTCCCCCCCTCGGGAGGGCCCGCGAAGAGAGGCACCCGTGGGGACCCCGCAATTCCCTTCCCCCCTCGGAGGGGGCCGGACGAGGCGTACCCCGAATTCCCCGCTCTTTCCCTCGCATAGCGGCCACTCTTCGGATCGCTGGTCGAGCGACCCGGGGGATGCCCCGCGCGCCTGACCCAGGCGCGAAAAACGAATCTGCGAGGCGTGGCCGCTCATGCGGCCCGATGGGGAGGAACGGGGCGAGCCCCCTCCAACCCACCCGCGCTAGGTCTCGGGTTTGACGCATGGGGTCACTCCCGCGAAACCTGTGAACTAGCCGGGGCAGTCGGTCGGAGATGGGGCGCTCGTCCATCTCGATCAGCCGGTACGCAGCGTCCGAGAAGCCCTCCGCCAAGGCGAGCGTGGTCATCCCGGTGATAGATGGGCGAGTGGAGGCGCGGCTGCAGGCCGGCGGGAAAGGAGAAGAAAGCGAGGTAGGTAGGTAGGTAGAAAGGTGAAGAACAGCCTCGCTTTTGTCCACCAAGACGGAAAAGAAACCGCGACTCGATGGCCGGCACACGCATCGCGGATGCGCCGCAGCCGGCGGCGCTCTCCTGGCAGAGCCTCGCGGAGAGCGGGCGGCTCGCCCGCGCGCTTGACAGGGAGAGCGCAGACGCCCCGCACGTCCGAAAGCTCCGCCTCACCCTCGAGCCCAAAGCTGAGCCGCACACGCTGCGGCTCAAAATGCCGTGCGACTGCGGGAGCTGCATCGTCAAGGCTCAGATGAAGGCGGGCGCCTCCTGCCTGGTGCTGGTCTGGAACGAGGAGAAGCAGAAGTGCTCGCTCCGCCTCAACGAGCTCGCGGACGCCGCGCCAAGCGAGGGGCCGCCTGCGCCCGCCGCCGGCGTTGCGGCTGCAGAGGCGGACACTCAAGCGGCGGCAAGCACTGCCACTGCCGAGGCGGTGGGCGGCGAGGGCGGCGGGGACGGCGTGAGCGGCAAGGTCGGCGAGGGCGGCGACGGCGGCGAGGGCGGCGACGGCGGCGACGGCGGCGACGGCGGCGACGGCGGCGCGGGCGGTGGGGGCGGCGACGGCAGCGAGGGCGAGGGCGGCGACGAGGAGGCCGGCGGTGGCGGAGGCGGCGGCGGCAGCGGTGGCAGTGGCGAGGCTGCGCTGCCGGGAAGCAGCGCAGCGTGTCCGATGGAGCTGGACAGCGACGACGAGCCGGAGCCGGCGGCTGCTACGGAGCCTGCGGCCTCCGCGGTGGAGAGCGAGCAGAGCCCGCCCCTTATGGCGCCCGCGGCGGCGGCGGCAGGGGCAGAAGAGCCGGCGCCGCTGGAGGAGGGAGCGGCGGCGGCGGCGGATGAGGCAGAGGCGCCAGTGGCGGTCGCGGAGGGCTTGCGTCTGCATTGGTCGAGCAGCAACCCAAGCGGCTACAAGGGGGTGCGCAAGGACTCGCGAACCGGCCGCCTCAGCTTCTACGCGCAGCACAGTGTGCGCGGAAGAAATGTCGCACTCGGCCGCTTCGACACGGCGGTGGAGGCGGCGGTGGCGTACGCGCGGGCGGTCGGCGAGTACCAGCCTCCGGCTCATCCTCCTCCGACGGTGGCGACAGAGGCGGAGGGATTGCGGCTGCACCTCTCTAGCAGCAGCGTCACCGGCTACTTGGGCGTGCACGAGCACCATGTCGGCTGGGGCGACGCGGAGGCGGCGCAGGTGGCGGAGGTCCTCGCGAGCGGGGCAGCGCCGCGGCTCGAGAGGCTCGCTCTCATCGGCAACAAGATTGGCGACGAGGGTTGCAGTGCCGTCTGCCTTCGCGGCGGAGCTGGAGACGAAGAGCTTCACCAACGGCAAGGACGACAAGCCGCTGGTGGAGCGGCTGTACGAGGCCGCCTTCCAGGAGCAGTTTGGCAAGGCGACCGGGCTGTACTACTGGAAACTCGGCTGGGGCGACGCGGAGGCGGCGCAGCTGGCGGAGGTCCTCGCGAGCGGGGCAGCGCCGCGGCTCGAGAACCTCGAACTCACCGGCAACAAGATTAGTGACGAGGGCTGCAAGGCGCTTGCCGCCGCCCTCGGCACGGAGGGGGCAGCGCCGCGGCTCGAGAGGCTCGAGCTCTGGGGCAACAAGATTGGCGACGAGGGCTGGAAGGCGCTGGCCGCCGCCCTCAAGGAGGAGGCCGCCCCGAGCTTGAAGGCGCGAGACGCCCCCCTCGCCACACGCCCCGCCCAATGCTCATCGAACCTCCCTCGCGTGCAGGTGCTCGTCGTGGACAACAAGGAGCAGCCTGAGCTGGTGGCAGTGTGCGAGGAGCGCGGCATCGTCTTCTGCTGAGCCTCTCCAGCCGCGGCCGGGCGGCAAGGGCGCGGGGGCCCGGCGGGACCGCCGCGCGAGCACGGCAGAGAGCAGCAGACCAAGCGGGAGCACGACGTGTGCAGGGACATTTGGGGCGCGCGCGCGCGGATGGGTTCGTGCGGGGGCGTGGTGAGCGCGCGACCGCAGTGTACTCGAGACGGTAGCGTTTATACGCACACACTCACACTCACACACACATGAGGCGCCACTCTCTCTCACACACACCCCACTCTCCTCCACTCTCACCACGTCGCGCGCGCGATCGCCAAAATCTCCATAAAAACCAGAAACCACGCCTGCGTGCTGCGTGGATCGCGTCACACCAATCCTCGCTACCCAACTGACGGTGGGAATCCACCGGCCAGGAGCGGAAGGCCCCGCCCATGACTACCGCGTACGCCCATCCCGCCCTGCTTCCGTCTTCCGACCCATCAGTGTACGCCGTCCAGTCGGGTGGTCGCTGCTGCTGTGGGGGCGTGGTGCCGTCCCGTCGACAGGGTCGAAGTATAACTCCTGGCGCCTCCACCATCAGCCGCACTTTAACACGGCAAGCACCGCCCCTATCGCAAGGCTCGACGCTGAGTAGTGCCATCGTGTTGCTTGTGCAATCATTTGCAGCGATGTCGCGGGCAAGCTGAATCTTCTCCGGAAGCGCGCTTTGGCCGTCGTCAGAAAAGAAGCCGGACGGGAGCCACTCCCTTTCCCACTCTGCTACTGGTCCTTCCCCGGGCGAGGGCTGCCATCCGGGTATGCGAAGGCGTATTTCCCTCTCGGTTTGCTGTGCTCTCTTCGCCGTGTAGTAAAATTGGCGGACAAGTGCCGCCCTAGCGTCCTTGAAGATGGAGTCGACTCGGGCGTCCGGCGTCGCGTCGTGTGCAAGGTTCGCGTTGTGGTGCCGCCGCCGCACGATGCCCGCCAGCGTCTCCAGCATCATCACGCGTGTCGGCGTTGCCCCAATGCGCCCCTCTGCCATCTGTCCTCTGCTCGTAGTAAGCCGAAACCCGGTTATGCAGAGTCGGCGGTGTTCGTGTGCGAGTTGTTGCCATTGCGAACGCCGTGTCTCTTCACGCACCGCCTCGTCTAGCGTTGTGACTTCCACATCGACCCCTCTCGTTCATCCTGCGTCGGCATGCGCTGGCGCGGCTGGTCGGGCTGTCGCTTTGTGGCGCATGACATGACCGACTCTTCGCAAGGAGGTCTTCCTCGCGGCATTGGCCCGCCGAATACTAACACGTCGCTTAGGCGGCTCCCGTGGTTATTAAATGAACTCGGGGGCACGGGACGCGGCACACGGACTCGGGGCCGGTGCTTTGACGCAGCACAGTGTGCTTCGTGGTAGCATGAACTCAGAACGGCCCCCCGAGAGCGCCTCTTCGACGCCCACGGGTCCCGGGGGGTCGGATGGGTTGCGAGAGGGCCCCGGCTGTTTTTTGTTTGAATCCCGGAGGCCGTTCGAACATGAATTGACGTTCCACGTGCCCGTCCACAGCACGGACAACATGCTAGCCCAGCAGGCCGCTCCCACCGCCGCCCGCGGCGGAGGCAAGGCGGCAAAGGGTGGCAAGGGCGGCGGCAAGGGCGGTGGCAAGGGTGGTGGCCGTGGCGCACCAGACCCGCTTTGCGCCGCCGCCCTCAACGCCCGATATACTCGGTTAGAGCCGGCGGAGCGACGGCGGCAGACCAGCACGTCGAAGTGGTAGCCGCGGCCCGATGCGGAGGTCCGGTTGAGCAGCGTGCCCAAGTACTCGCCGGATTGGACGCCGATCGGGTAGACGTACTTGGCCTGGCCCTTGTCCAGCTGGCTCTGGACGTGGGCGGGCCCGTACTTGCCCTCGCGGTACTCCACGACGCCGATCCTGCAGCCGAGCGTCTCGCAGAGCACCATGAGCGATAACGCGCCGCCCCAGGCGCCGCGGCCGATCGCCTGCGCCTCCTGCTCGAGGATGCGGCCAACGCCCTCCTCGCCCGACGCGGGCAGCGCCTCCACGGTAGCGAGAAGCAGCCTGCACGACGCGGAGCGCAGCGACGCGGCGTCGAGCTCAACCTTGAGCCGTGCCCGCACGCGGTCCGCCCAGCCGGCCGCGGAGAGGATGTGCACGATGGAGTGGAAGAGGCAGTGCCCGTCCTTACGCATCTCTCGCAGCACGAGGCCGCTCTCGGCGAGCGCGCTGAAGAAGCCCGCCTTTGGCCCGCCGTCGCGCCCGCCGCGCCCAGCGTCCCCGCCGCCGCCCTTGCCGCTCCCGGTGCGCGAGCACTTGGTGCCCCCCCCCCTTGTGCCGCCCCGCCTGTGACGCATGGCGGCCTGGGCGAGAGCCGTAAAGTCCTCGGTCTCCCTGCCGCCGCCCTGCACCAGCCAGCCTGGCGCGTCGCCCTCGCCCGTGAGGCCCGAGTGGACGAGGAGGCGGCAGGCGGGCGGCGGCAGCGAGCAGAGAGGCAGCGAGCAGAGAGGCAGCGAGCAGAGAGGCAGCGAGCAGAGGAGAGGCAGCGAGCCGCAGAGGAGAGGCAGCGAGCTCTCGCAGAGGAGAGGCAGCGAGCTCTCGCAGAGGAGAGGCAGCGAGCTCTCGCAGAGGAGAGGCAGCGAGCTCTCGCAGAGGAGAGGCAGCGAGCTCTCGCAGAGCTGAGGCAGCGAGCTCTCGCAGAGCTGAGGCAGCGAGCTCTCGCAGAGCTGAGGCAGCGAGCTCTCGCAGAGCTGAGGCAGCGAGCTCTCGCAGAGCTGAGGCAGCGAGCATGGCAGCGAGCAGAACGGCTGCGGGCAGCAGCAGCAGCAGCCGGGCTCGGGTGCCGCGCAGCAGTACAGCGGCGCCGGCAGCAGAGGCAGCAGCTCAGCAGGCGCTGCATCTGGCAGTTGCTCAGCGCTTTTGCACGCGGCTGCTCTCCGCGGAGTAGCCGCAGAGCGAGCTGCCGCCGACGACGGAGCTAGAGCCTCCGTCGGCGGCGTCAGCCTGCTCGGTGGCGCCGCAGCCTCTCGCGGGCGCGGCGCCGGGCGGGCAAGCATTCCGATGCTGCCCGCCATGGAAATCGCGCGGTAACATGTACAGGCTCCATGTACGGCTCCCGTGGTGTACCTGTGTTAGTGCCAGTGCGCGCCAGTCCCGTGCCCAGTGTTGTGCGCGAAAAGAAATTCGTTGAGAAGAGAAACGTCTCGCTGAGTCATCAGCGAAGCCGGCGGGGGATATCCAATCTCGTTCCGCTGTGTGTTTCGCGCGCGTTGGTCGATGTGCAACATGGTATGTAGTAATACATATTTTTCGTCTGCAGATGCCTTGTGATGCCCTACCCCCTATCCCCTTGCTGACTAGTGATGGGTCGACCCCCGTACGCCCTGGCCCGGTCCCGCCCCTGATTTCCGTCAACCCAGCACATCCACACTCACCCTTTACTGTATGTAATAAAGATGGTTGCGCGCCCCTCCGCCCGCTCCGGCCTCCCCTACAAGCTATTAATACCTACTACACGTGTAGGCGCCACACATCCCGGTGCGGGACCGATTCAAAGGATATACTCACACAGACGTTTTTGCCCGCTACACACTTCCGACGTACTCCGCCCGACCTCGGCCGGCTGCGTCCCTCGTGCCTCGAGCGTCTCAGCGTCCTCCTCCTCGCTCGCGACCCTACCCAGCGACGGCGGCCCCTCGCCCTCCACAGCCTCCGCCTCCGCCAGCCGCCACTCGTGGTAGAGCCTTGTTCCCATCGCCGCCACGTCAAAGGTCGACACATTGCAGCCGCGAGCGAGGCAGCGGCCGACGCCGGCGTCAGTAAAGATCCAGTTGGCCGGCGCAGCGGTGAGGCGCGCGGCGTCGGTGGCGGCACAGCCGCCGCGTTCCGCCAGCAGCTCCGGCAGCCGCCCCGCCCGGCGGGAGGTGGCGGGGCACGCATAGCCCGAGCAGCGGACCGGCGAGCGGGCGAGCGCGGCCGCCGCGAAACACTGCGGGTGGGGCGGCTCCGCCTCGCGCAGGGCCGGGTCAAACGCGCGAAACCACAGCCGCTCGTACGCCATTGCGAGGAACATGCCTGAGGGAGGGCCGACGGGCTGTGATGGCCGTGTGGGGGAGCCGCTCACACGCCACCGCGAGGAGCATGCCGGTGGCGCCGACTCGGTTGTCGGGCGCGCGCAGCTGCGGCGGCGGCCGCGGGCCGAGGTCGACGGCGTATGGCCCAAAGTTGGCCCACTTTGCTCGCCGCGCGTGCCCGTTTTCGGAGCGGTCCTCCGGGCCGTCTCGCCGCAGCATGTGCTTGAGGGGGGAGGGGAGCGAGGCGAGCTCGGCGTTGAGGCGCCTGAGCACGCATCCGCCGGCTGGGTGAGGCAAGCCTCGCCGGCGGGAGAGCCGCGCCGAGCGCAGCCGAGAAGCCCGCACCACCAGCGGCGCGAGCGCAGCCGGACGGCGGCGCGCGGCACGGCGAACTGGGCGTGGCGCGGCCACGCGATGCGGCGCGGGAAGGGCCTGGGCGGCCCGCCCGCGGCCGGGCCGCCAAACGGCGGCGCGAGGAAGGTGCGCAGCCACCAGTGCATGGGCCGGTACTCTCCTGCGTCCGCGCGACAGGCGCCTCGCTGAGCACAAGCAGCGGAGGGAGGCGGGAGAAGGGAAGGGGGGAGGGGGGGGGGGGGGGGCACCGTACGACCGCATCGCAAAGCCGCGCTCGACGTCGACGGTGCACGGACACGGGCCGAGCTCCCACGGCGAGCTCTCGTTTGCAACGTCGACGGCGCCGGCCGCCGCGGCCTCGCGCCGCTTGTCAAAGGTCGTCTCGAGCAGGCGGAGCCAGCCGCGGGAGCCGACGGGCGCATCGGACGGGTGGCGCTGGTTGCCCGGCCGCTGCATCAGCTTGACCTCGGGATCGTCCTGTGGGGCGGGCGAGCGGCTCGTGGCGGCGAAGGCGAGCCGCGCCGGCGGCGGGTGCGGGCGTGGCGCCTGCGTGAAGACGACCGCCGCGGGAAGGTGGTTGTAAAACTCGACCGCGAAGCGCAGGACCGTCGCCGCCTCACGCGCTCCCAGGTTGGGTCCGTCGATGCAGCCCCCGCGGCCGGCGGACAGCCAGCGCAGCAGCGACAGCGTCAGCTGAGAGCACGAGGCGCCACGCGCCACCACCAGCAGCGCGACGTCGTGGCGATCGCCGTAGAGCTGCCGCATCTCATCCATCGAAGAGAAGCGCGCGCCTCGCGAGTCGCGCGCCTCTCGAGAGCCGAGCGACCACGTCACCACGACACCCAGCTCGGAGGCGGAGAAGTGCGACCGAACGGCGTTCCAGCAGCCGTCGCCGTCGGTGGTGGGAGCCGCCCCACCTCGCGAGACGTGCAGCCGCCGGTGGCCGGGGAGCACGGCACAGGGCCGGAGAGGCTGCGGAGCCTGCCCGATGTTCATGTCTTCGTTCAAGTCTTCGCGCGGGTACCCGGGTATCTGATGCCTGGCTGCTGCGGCGAGTGGGTTGCTGCTCGCTGCGATGGCGAAGAACTCGTCTCGTCACACGCCAAGGGCTTATGCTCTGTCGAGATGTGAGGCGCATGCGCCCAGGAGGGGAGGGGGCATGCGTAACGACGCTGCTAGAGATGCCTTTCGTTCGGGGCCCAGAGATAAAACTTCTGATGCCATGCGTGACCTAGTAGTGTCCCCAGCTATGGGCGTGTCCACGTTGGAGCCAGGTGTGGTGTGGACGCGAGAATAGCTCCGCCGTTCATGGAGGCAACCGATGCGAGTCGACTGGTGTGTGTCGTCGTGGTTTCGTATCAAGAATACTCACACACACGAGGTGGTGGTGTGTGTGTGCGGAGGGTGAGGTGGAACTACATCTAACGAACACGAAGGCGTGGTCGAGTACGAGGACTGGGGGGGAGGGGGTTCGATCAGGAGACGGAGGACTGTGGGCTGTCGTGGGGAGCTGCGCGTCCGGACTCCGGAGGGCGAGCTGTGCTGATCCGGATGGCTTCACACCGGTGGGAGGCACCGAGGTGTCGTGGGGACGCTATTCTGTTCGGTCGACGCTCGTTCGTCCACTGAGAACTCAGTGGTTGTCACCACTTTGTATGCTTTTCATATTAGCCTTGCGAACTCGTCCCCCCCGGCAGGGCTATGCAACTGTGACCAGTGTGTGCTGTCTACGCCTCCCTGAACCAGGCGTGAAATCTGCCGATGCGTGATCTGTGTGTGGGCCGCTCTGTGAGGGGTCCAGGCATTGTCCGACGGGTAGGGGGTCTGTGCCCGGGCGGTGTCCGGTGCGGAGTCTCTCTCTGATCCCGCCTGTGATGTTGGGTGTGAGGTGTGGCGGCTTCGAACCCAAGGGGGGGAGCTGATCCCACTCAGTAACCAACTCTCAGGGGCAGTAGGTGGGCGGGCTTCAAGCGCGCTCATCTCGATCGACAAGGCGTCGCTACGCGCGCGGTCTTCCGCGGGGGGAGCGTCGTCGACGGGTGCGGGACCGCGGCGCAGACAGTGCTGCCTCCGGCTGCTGCGGCGAGTGGGTTGCTGCTCGCTGCGATGGCGAAGAACTCGTCTCGTCACACGCCAAGGGCTTATGCTCTGTCGAGACGTGAGGCGTATGCGCCCAGGAGGGGAGGGCGCATGCGTAACGACGCTACTAGAGATGCCTTTCGGGGCCCAGAGATAAAACTTCTGATGCCATGCGTGACCTAGTAGTGTCCCCAGCTATGGGCGTGTCCACGTTGGAGCCAGGTGTGGTGTGGACGCGAGAATAGCTCCGCCGTTCATGGAGGCAACCGATGCGAGTCGACTGGTGTGTGTCGTCGTGGTTTCGTATAAAGAATACTCACTCACACTCACACGAGGTGGTGGGGCAATGGGTGGTAGGCTCGGGCGGCGAGGGCGGGGTCGACGGCGGTGGCCGGAATTCGCCTCTCGGTCGTAGAAGCGAGCGGCTTCCGGGTGGCTCCTTTACACCCCCATACGCACTGCCGCCTGTTTCGGAAAAACGCACCCCGCTCGGCTGAACACGCCCCACAGACAGGGACAGGGGACGCGGCTCCCCTTGCGCCGATTGCGGCGGCGGCGGCGGTGGCGGCGGCGGCGGCGGCGGCGGCGGTGGCGGCGGCGAGCCGTCGTGGTCGCGGCGAGCAGCGCCGGCCACTCCGGCGCCGCGTCGGCAACATGGGAGCATGTCCACTGCCACTTCGCGGTCGCAGCGCTGTTGTCGCCCAAAACGCCCGGGCCGCCTATCCCTCTGGCGGGCGCCAAACATCGCCTCGCATGTCGATTTATTATGACTCGACGGCGCGCATGGACGAGGCATCACGTCTCCATGCGCCCGTCAAGTCGGAGCCAGTCTGCGGCGACCATAGCGCTCACCGCAGGGATCGGCGAGCTTTTCAGAGTCAAGCGATTGCGCGAGATCCCACAGTGGTGGATTTTGGCGCGCTGTCTACCCCCTAGCGAAAAGAATTTTAGCTGAGATAGAAGAAACGATTCGGCGTTTTGTGTGAGCAGTGACTTGCTTGCCTTCCCTGGAACCCTGTGTTGCATGTCTGACTGCCACTGTGCAATTTCGGGGCCCGGGGTTGTGCGTTTATGAGAGCAGTGACGGGCACGGCCTGACCACCTCTCTCACTCACACGCGCCAGCGCCAAACGCGAACTGGTCCTGGTCCACCTCCAGCACCTGCGAGCTCGCCTCCACCTCGCCCAGCTCTTCGATCCCACAGACTCCCGCAAGCCGATGCCCCTCCGTCGCACCCTGCCCATCGAGCACCATGTTCATGAACTCGACGCGCACCACGACAGGTGACCCCTCAGCGCCCTGCTTACAGACGTATGTCCACGTCATCCACGTATGGCCCTCAATTTCCTCGCTCGCCACGCGCTGCGCCTCGGACCAGAGCTGTCCGACTGAGCCGTCAAGGTACGGCGGTGAGCCGTCGACCACTTGCGTGTTGTTGCTGGGCGGGAAGAGCGGGTGGGCCAGCGTGGACGTGGAATTCATGAACTCGGAGAGCGTCATGCGTCCAAGCGCAGCGTCGTCGCCCTCGGGATACTGAACGAGCCACATAGTTGGCTGTTCGAGCGTCGTGAGATCATGCGTGTCGCCATTCCACTGCCATGTGCTCGCGACATAGTCAGAGAGGTCGGCAGAGTTGTCGAGCACCGCGGTCCGGCGCAACCCGTTGAGGAGCGTGAGGCAACCAGAAACGGAGGCGGCGGGGACGACGTGCATATCGAAGAGTGGGTGCCGCGACGGCGACGGCGCAGTCGCGAAGCCTTGTGCGCACGGCAAGAGGAGGAGAAGAGGGCGGAGAGACTCCATGGGTGTACTCGAGTAGCCTTCCGAGAAGTGAGGAATGCGATTCAACAGCATCCCCGTCGATCCAGTAGGAGGCCCGCGCCTGCCCCCGTGCCGCCGGGTGCAACCTGTCCTATACGAGAGGGGAATTCCTGGGACCCTGTCGTGTGGGTGAACCCTGCCCAGCCCCCCTCCGTGTCGCGATGCGCTCCCCGCTCCCGTTCCCCTGTGTCGTGTGAGAGAGAGAGAGAGATTTTTAAAGACCAATTCTTCGTGTGTGTGTCTCGCGCCTTGTGTCCCTGATCGTCCTTACAAGATCCTGCTCGTGCAGGTGGGGACCCTGTCCTTCTCCCACCCCTCGTTTGGCGTGCCCGTTTTATTGAGCACTTGAGCACTGGATAGGGTCGATTCCGCATGGTACGGGACCCCTCGATCGTCTCGCCCTCCCTCACTGGTGTGGTCATCGGGGGGGGTCATAACAAACACGGTACAGGATCGAGGTGCACGCTGCCGAGGCAGTGTCGTCCCCCCTCTCCCCGACGGCGATGGCGGTGAGTGCACAGAGAGCGAGCAAAAGTCGACAAAACCACTGATCTGTGTGCAGCGGATCTCCATGGCGGTCGCGCCCGGCGAAAGGACAACCGCGGGCCTCGGATGCTCGCCCGGATGCGGCCCCACCGTGCGAGTTGCAGACCCGGAGGTGGCCGACCCAGCTCACCCCCAGAGAGGCATGCCCAGGGTCAGGCATAAAAGGGGGGTGTTTTTCCGTCCGTCCACATGCTCCGTTTTATTTATTTATTGGTCGATCCGCACCGGAATGCTCCCCGAAAAGACAGAAGAACCAAGCAACGCCTCGCCCATAGATCTAGGCACCTCTGTGTTCGTTGTTAATGATACAAACGGATGCGGGATGGTCCCGGTCTGGCTAGAAAAAATCTTTTTCGGGCGCTCTGGGCGCACCGCCGCCCCTGGCGAGTAGAGACCACGCCTGCTATTCACAGCACAAGCCCTCGCCGGGGGCTCGAGCATGCGGTGTTCGTTGTTACTAATAAGCGGGTGCTCCCGGGTCAGAATTTCCAAATTCTTTTTCGGGCGCTGCCCGGGTTCCAACTTTTTGCGGGGTATGGTATGGTAGCGTCACGGCCCAAAGGGCGGGGGGCTATGCTCCTGACCGCCCATCCCCGTGGGTCTTTCAGCAGGGGGGTATGGTCTCGAGGTGGGTAGCGGTTACCATACCACACCAAAAAGTCCGAACCCCAGCCTGGCACAATGTTCGCGGGCAAGCCGTCGGCGGAGCGGCAAAAGCAGCAGGCCAAGGAGGCGTCCAACGCCATCAAAAAGGAGGGCCGCTCCGTCGATCGCGAGCTGAACCAGATGCGGCGCGAGGAGACCAAGCTGACGGCGATGATCAAGGAGGCGGCCAGGCGGCCGGGCGGGCAGCAGAACGCAAAGGTGCTCGCCAAGCAGCTTGTCAGGAATCGAGAGCAGCAGGCGCGGCTCCTCAAGATGAGCGGGCAGATGAGCGCGACCGCTAGCCAGGTGCGCTCGATGGGCTCGCAGGCTGCGGTGGCGGGCTCGATGGCGTCTGCGGCGAGCATCATGGGCAAGGTGAACGCGCAGGTAAACCCTGCCGCCGTCGCCGCGACGATGCAGGAGCTGGAGAAGCAGAGCGCGATGATGGGCATGAAGGAGGAGATGGTCGACGACGCGATGGAGGCGCTGGACGACGAGTGGGGCGACGAGGACGACGACATTCTCGCACAGGTCTGCTTCGCACCGTCCGTATCCTCTGCGCGCGCGAGAGAGAGCGCGCGCCCGTGCCCTCGCGCAGGTGATGGATGAGATTGGCCTCGAGCAGACAGCGGCGATGCAGTCTGCGCCCGCTCGCGCCGTCGCCACGGGCGCGGCGTCGGCGGGCGGCGGTGGCAGCAGGCCGCAGCAGGGCGAGGCGGGCGTGCAGGCGCTTTGAGGCCCCTCCGGGGGGAGCAGCGAGCAGCTTCGCGTGGGGTGGACGTGGTGGAGAGTACGGAGCTATCTCATCGGTGACAGCCTTCAAGAGAGAGAAATGAGCAAGCGTACGCGAGTGTGTTGTGGCGCCGCACTTGAGAGGGAAGGTCGAGGGTAAGGTAAGGTAAGGTAAGTGCGGCGGTGGACATGCTCCCACGTTGCCGACGTGGCGTCGGAGTGGCCGGCGCTGCTCGCCGCGACCACGACGGCTACTCCGATGCTCCGGGCCGACCCGTCCTACCCGACGGTGGCACTCTTCCACGTCTCGCTCACGCTGAGAAAAATTCTGACACGGCGTGCAGCAGAGTCGCCGACGAGTCGGTCCGCGTGCCTCCTCGTGTCGCGCATCGTTCTCACCCATCCATAAACTCACTTTGGCCTCACTAAAGCGATGCCTGAATCCTTAATCCTCAGATTTTAGATTAGGACGCTGTGGGCCCTCTAACGTTTAGAGCCGCGGTAGGTGACGACAAGAGGGGGGCACGAGCGGCGGAGTGCCTGAAGGAATTCTGGTTGTGTCATCGCCCTGAGCGCCGGTGTGTGCCTTCACCGTGTGGGCCCCAGCGAGGTAGCTAGCTCATGGGCGCAATATTGAGCCCAGCGGTAGAGTTCGGCCTCTCGCCAAGCTCGGAAGAAGTCCCGCGTCCCTTCTTTGGGCAAAGAAATCGTGGACGGCCGGCTTAGCGCCCCAAAATCCACCAGTCTGGGATTTCGCCCAAAAGCTTGACTCTGAAAAGCTCGCAATGTACCTTTCTGAGCGCTGTGGTCGCCGCAGACTGGCTCCAACTTGACGGCGGCATGGAGGCATCGATGCCTCCATGCCGCCGTTAAGTCGAAATCGACATACAGCTCGATGGTTTGCCCGAAAAGGTACATCGCGGCGTTTTGGGCGACAACAGCGCTGCGGCCGCGAAGTGCAAGTGGCTAAGGTAGATTTCTCCACACACACAAAGTGGTGGGGCAAGGGGGGGCGACCCTCGCATCTCCACGCCCGGACACGGGCAGGAGCCCCACGGCATTCAAAGTGCAAGCACTGGCCCGGTGCACGTGGGTGAGCAGCCTGCCCCTCCCTCCCGACAAAAACCAACTCCCGCGCGCACACACAATCGCACTCTGGCCATCGAATGACTCCGAATGACTCACTGTGTGTGCTAAGACAGAACCTCCGCAGATATCCAAAACGGGCCGTGCCGCGTTTGTGGTGTCTTCTCAAGCACTAGCATCCGGACGCCGCACTCGAGCGGGCGGGTCACATCTATGTGGGCCAGTCGCCCCTGCCGCAGAGCGCGTCGGCGTCGCGACTTCCTGCATCCGGGCCCTCGCCTGGGAGATAGCCCACTGAAGCCGCCGAGGACGCCTTTGGTGCGCCGACAGGTAAGCCGATGCCCGCTCGCCAAGCTCGGTGGAGGGGCCGTGCTGCTCGAGAATCGCTCTCGCGATCGCCTGCGGCTTGGCCTTGAAGTCGGAGGCGGCGCTCTCGCCCAAGGACTGGAGCACTGTCAACATTGGCGCGATTGCCGCGTGGGCCGCCTCGCGGGCCGCCATCCCAACGGCTTACGGCCCACCCCCGCTCGAAAAAACCCCGTGTACTCGAGTATTCCTGTGCGCGGTCAGGAAACGCTCACCATGGTCAGGAAACGCTCGTCGCTGATTCGGTCGCCGCGCACCCTGATTCGGTCAAGGGGTGCGTGCTATGTTGTCCCCCGTTTTACTTTAATTAACATTAAAACCTCTTGGCCGCAACCATGTGCAAGAGGCCAAGAGCGCGGCCCGCGGCGCACGATGAATGACATCGCCGCATGAGGAGCGTCGCATTACGTATGTCGGGCACAATGTCGCAACCATGTACAATCTCCACCAGGCTCCACCACACTACACCGTACTCTGTTGTCCCATATGCATTGTTCTACTGTAGAGAGTATAAGCAAATAATTGGCTTGGCTTGCGCGCGCGGCTTTCAGTTTCACGCGCGTCCGCGCGTGCGGAGAGCCGTGTCGGGCGAGGAGAGACCCCAGAGAGAGAGAGTGAGCGACAGGCCCCAGGCCAGACGCCCTCCCGCTCCGCGAGCCTGCAGAAGCAAGGAGTCCACGAATGTCGGGGCGACGGATCTCGTCATCTCTCGGCGCATCGCGTCGCATCTCAGCGCATCTCGGCGCATCTCGCAGCCTGCGCAGCGAGTCCTCCGAGAGCATCAGCAGAGTGACGGCCCGCGCGGCGACGTGTGGCTGCACGAGCGCCCACAGCTCCTCGAGCGAGCCTGCTCACGGGTGCGCTGTGGGTGGCGCCCCTTCACACCTCGGAGCGGCGCGCTTCGCGAGCCGAGCGCGGGGCGGTGATTAAAGTCGAGGCTGACGTCGCAGCCGTCTGTCGCCGCCGCCGCCTCCAACGCGGTCGACCACGCCGCCGCCGGACCGGGCCCGAGCAGCGGCGTAATGCCTGTCACGTGAAGCCACTTTGCAGGCGAGAGGAGAGACGGCCAGTCGAAGGTGTCACCGCTTGCTACGGTAGCAAAGGCCGAGTGGTGGCGCTGGTAGTGCGGCCGCGGGCCAGAGCCGTCGTCGACGACGTGAAGCGTCCCGAGGACGGAGTGCGGCGACCCGTCGACCACGACGTTTTCCGTCGCCACGCCAGAGGCCTCTGCGGCCGATCTGACGGCGTCCCCAAGCGGCCCGTGCGGAAGCACAGAGACGTATGACGCTATCGGGGCCGCGGAGACGCGAGAGAGCGCGACGGCGACGTTCAGCTCCGCTCCTCCGACCGCCTGCACCACCTCGGCGGCCGGCGCGGCGAGCGGCAGCGCCACGTGAACCGGCGTGGCCGGACGGGGCTTGAAGGTCATGACCGCCTCGCCGAAGGCGACGAGCGCGGAGTGGGCGGCGGTGCAGTTTGTGGCGGAGTGGGCGGCGGCCACGCGAAGGCCACCGCACAGCACGGCAGTCGCGAGCGAGCGCTTGTGCATGGTCGCAGAGCAAGGCGTGCTCTGTCGAGTCGGGAAGCGACAGCGCGCAACAGGATTTGTCCCTGGCACAAAATAATGGCGCGGCGGCGCGATCACCCGCCCGCCGTCCCGTCCGCGGTCTCCCGGGTGTCCGCGGCGCACTGAGCACTGTGCCCGCTGGTAGGACAGTGACCGCCGCAAACCCTGTGTTTTGCTCCAAGGGATGGATATTTTTTGTAGGCACCGGAACGCCGCATGTGCGCGTAACGACGCTGTGCTAGAGATGCCTTTCGGGGCCCAGAGATAAAACTTCTGCTGCCATGCGTGACCTGATCCTACCTAGTAGTGTCCCCAGCTATGGGCGTGTCCACGTTGGAGCCAGCCAAGTGCGGCGAAATCCGGTCCATCAAATCTCTCTCTCTTCGGGGCCGTTACCGCCTGGTAACGCCAGAGATCGGTCGGTCGGGTGGGTGGGTTGGTCTCCGCCGCACTCCCGCCGCCTCCAGCCAGCCTGCGGTCCAGCCCTGACCCGACGGGGACGCCACCACCCTCGTTCAACGCCTTTAGAGAGATTTTTGAAACCAACAAGAAATCGCGACTACCACTTATCTCTTAAGTAACCCACAAAATGAATACGCATCGCCTTATGCTCTGGTTTCGGGTGCGTAACCTGGTGCGTAGACATAGCTTAGGGGTTAGGTGGGGCGGATGCGTCAGACGTATGCGTAATACGTGAGGCGTAACCCTTGCTGGCCGCCACTTCTCAGTCAAATCCGTCGTGCGTGTGCGTAATACATGGGACGTAAGCTCCCCCCGAAACCCATGGCGACCGATGCGTCAGACGTATGCGTAATACGTGAGGCGTAACCCTTGCTGGCCGCCACTTCTCAGTCAAATCCGTCGTGCGTGTGCGTAATACATGGGACGTAAGCTCCCCCCGAAACCCATGGCGACCGATGCGTCAGACGTATGCGTAATACATGAGGCGTAACCCCCTCTCCGCCGCCGTTCACGGTCGAGAGCGTAGAGCATGTGCGTAATGCGTCGGTCATAGGCTCACCCAGCCCCGATTTACGATCCCACTGCGTAAGACCTGTGCGTAATACACCGTGCGTAGCGGCCCGAGAGAGCCTCTCTGGCAAAGCTTACATAAAACAGATGCGTGGTGCGTGGTGCGTAGCGGCCAGAAGGTCGGTGGTAACGATCGGGACAGAAGACGTGCGCATAATACGCAGCACATTTGAAATCACCGATCGTGCTTTCTGTCTGCACGCGTAAAGCGAGGCGTATGCGTGACGCATCACTGAGCCTCCACCCGGCTTGACACGGCACCAAAATACACGACGTCTCAGCGACGTCCTACGAACCGTGGGCATGGATGTGCATAAGGTGGCCGACAATTGCATTAGTGGCTCTTACATATCCATAGCGGGACTAATAACCTCTCGCTGCCGCCGTACGTGCCAGAATTTGACCTCGCGTTCATGTCTCAGATGCTGGGCGGTGGAGCCGTCCGGTCGGAGCCAGAAGACCCAGCCACTGGCGACGACGAGACGATGATGCAGGAGGCCGCCGTCGACATTGCCCTCCAGCTTTTCACGGATGATGACATCGTCAGATCCGTGTTTTTCTCGTTGTTTTGTCGCTCGCTCGCCACCTCACGCTCCGTAGTCCGGCCATGGCCAGTACCCCGCGTCTCAGTGAGACGCGGGGTACCATCCAACTCCGGTCGATGGGCTCGAATGCGCTCAGCCTCAGGAGGGACAAAACCGCGCGAATTCTGCACGCCTCGCTGCACCGCTGGCTTGACTGAATCAGGCAGCAGCAGGCTGCTGCTGCTGCCACAGCAGCAGTCTGCTGCGGCCCTAATACGCAAGTTGATGACTAGCAGCACTGCCGGGGGCATACGAGCCGCCACAGCCGGTGTGCGGCCGTGCACTGCCACCTGCCCGCGGCTACGCACAATGTGCGCTCGCATTGGATGAGCCCTGCTGATGGACCTGCGTCGCCTAGCTGCACGAGAGCAATGCCGCAGGCGGTGGCCGTGGCATACACTGCGAGCACACTCGGTGCAGCTGCGAGGTGCAGCAAGAGCACGTCGTTCCTGCCTCTGATGCCACTCTCGCGGCTTGCAGCGCGTCACTCGCGCATGCTCTCCAGGAGCTATGGCGGGCGCGTGTGTGGGGCTGTAGCCTGTGTTTGGCCGGTTCTGACCCGTTTACTATCAGTATCATGTCCGGGCCACAAAAAATCGCACACGGGTAGCGGCTCAGGGGCCCAGTAAGTCGCGGAATCGCCAAATGTCACAACCTGCGCCACCCAGGGCTGGACCTCTAGTCATCCTAGTCTGTAGTCGCCGACCACACCCACAAAGAACCCTGCACAAAGATCGCAAGGGCGGGGACCTGTTCCTTTTTACCCATCTCACAGTAGAGAGGGGTGTCCGTTTTTATTTATTTATTCTCCCTTAAGGTCTACTGTGTCACGTACGTACTGACGTTCGAGCGTCCTCGCGGTGTCTCTCAGATCACGCGCTCGTGGACAAAGACGGAACCGACGATGACGGGGTCGCCCGAGACGACGGTGGACACTCGCAAGTCGCCCGCCCGCCCGCTCGTCTCCAGATAGCTCTGTGCGTAGCGGTTGCGCGGCGCGGCCTGCGCCTCCGCGTCGCGCGCGTTGAGCGCGCGAAAGTCGGCGTCCGAGCCCGCCTCGACGAGCAGCCGCCGCCGGCCCGCCGCGTCGAGCTCGAGCCGGAAGGGCGGCATGATCTCGAGGGTCGAGGGTGGGCCGTCGGCGGCGGGCAGCACTCCCGAGGAGAGCAGCAGCCGCACGCCTCACGGGAGATCATGGGAGATCACGGGAGATCAGGGGAGGTCATGGGGGGTGGTCACGGGAGATCACCAAACGGGAAGAGCAGCAGGTTCGCGACGCGTCCCTCGCCGACCGTGCCCGTCGCCGCCGGTCCCAAGAGCTGCAGCGACGCAGGCCGCACCTGTGAATGGAGGGTAGGCTATGTCGGCGCCGCGGAGGGGGAAGAGCTCGGCGCCAAGGACGGAGCCAGGGAGGGCGATGAGGAAGGAGCCGCGCAGGTGGTGGCGCGCTTGGCGACGACGAGGGCGCAGCACTTGGGTCCAGACGAGGGGTGGAGTGGGCATGAAAGAGTGTCAAGGCCGAGCGACTCCTCCCTCCACGGACGCACAGGCACACAGGCACACGGGCACAAGAACAGGTACAGGTGCAGGTGCAGGGGAACCGCTTTGCAGCCACACGCCAGAGTCGACTGGTGTGTCCAAGAAGACAGCAAGCACTCGGAGTGTGCACACGACCCCCGCGCACCGGCCGCGGCAGCCCGAGCAGCGGCGAGAACTTGTCGGCCTTGTAGCTCCACAGCAGCCGCCACGTCCCGCCGAGCGCGTCCGAGCGCGCGGCGCGCCCGCCTGGTATGTTTTGAGCCGTACCGAGGGGATGGGGTATGTTTGGGGGGTGGGCTGGGTAGGGGGGAGTGGTCGGGGAGAGGGTCAACAGGGGGTTGCGAAGAGGGTGTTGGGGTGTAGCAGGGGGTTAGCGAGGGTGTTTAGGGAGGTGGGCGGGCAGGTGGTTGTGCCGGCAGGGTCGAGCGGCAGCAGCGCGTCGAGTGTGGCCAGCACGGCGCGGTCGTCGGCGCCTACCGTCGGGTGATCTCGGCTACCCTCGCCGTCGGCGGTGAGTACACACACACCGAGGGAGAGAGGGGGAGCGGCGCCAGCTGCAATCGCCTCGAGGAGCGCGCGTCGCTCGGAGGGTGCGGCGTCTTCCGCCGCCGCGAGCGGCGGCCGCGTCGCCCCTGCCGCCGAGCCAGCCGCGAGGAAGAGCGCAGCGCGGCGGCTGAAGGCGGCGGGGACGGCCTCCTCCTCGTCGCGCCACCGCAGGGCCATACGCGGAGGAGAGCCTCCGGCGCGCGAGGAGCGGGAGCCGCCGCCTCTCGCCGCCAAAACCTCCTCAACCTCGTTCGGAATCGGGGTCGAGAGCTCGCGGGCGAGCTCGACGCTCTCCACGAGGGAGAGCTCGTCCTGTGGCATGCCCTTGACGGCGCGCCACGCGCGCGAGTAGTCGCACGACCACACGACGCCCTCGCCCGACCGAATGCGCTCGGCGAGCCGCTCCTCTTCCGTCTGCTCCTTGACGAGGCCGGCGAGGCCGCTCTTGAGCGCCCCGAGAAAGGTCGGCACGGGAGCCGCCGGCGGAGCGCCCGCCTGTCCCTCCGGCTCCTCCGCTGGCGGCGCGTTGCTCGCGCCGGCCACCTCAAACCCCTTCTTGAGGTCGTCGAAGAAGCCGAGCGCGGGAGAGGCGCGTGCAGCAGGCACGCAGGCGGGCGCGGCCCGGAGCTGATACGGCGCGGCGAATCTCAGGATGGACGACGCGAGGAGCGAGAGGCGTAGGGCGGAGGAGGAGTCCATACACACGGATGGTACACACGGATGGCTTGCGGGTTCGAGCCTCACAACCAGAGCTTGGCAACCTTGCTTTCACGACCGTGAAATCAAGTACGTATTGCAAGAACGTGGGCGGAAATGCCCCCAGCCCACACGCCCTTGCTGACGACACACCAGCGCCCCTCGCGTACGTGCGCCTCAGCTCAACCACGGACGTACTTCGACACTACGTACGTACTGTCAAAACAGGGACGTACATACATGCAAGTACGACCTTACGCCTCAAATTTTCTCTTCGGCTCGCTCCGCTCGCTTCTGTGCGCAAGAGCCGGTCCTCGCGCCGGATGTCGGCGGCTCCTGGCCCTATCCTGGCCCTAATCTACGCAGAGAACCCAGCCGGGGCGGCCGCCGTAGCCCTCGGCCCAAACGTATCCCTGGCCGTTCACCAGCGGCGCGTTCTCGGCCGCGACCTCCTCGGTCATACCTTCGGTGTCCCAGTGGTCGGTCGTGGTCCCACCGTCGGTCGTCATGCCGAGCGCGACGCGCTCCTTGTGAGCCCCGAACCCCCCTGCGATTGATGCGTCCGGGCGCTCATTCGCTTCATCCAGGCGCTTGTTGAAATCTGCCGCCACCTTTTGCCACTGCCGCTGCCGTTGCGCCCGCAGCCGCTGCACGGTTTTTTCAGTCAGCAGGGTTTTTTCGACTGGCGGTGTTATATTTAGCGCTCGGAGCCCTTGTTAAGATGTACACAAACAGGGCACCCACGGGGCACCCACCCCACCCTTCCACGCCGACCTGGAGAGGGCCCCCCCCCCCCCCCCACACACCCACCCACACACAACCACCCGCCGCCGCCGCCGCAGCGCTTCAGACCTCATCCGACCATATCTTGAAGTGCTTCTTCTTGAAGTGCCTACGAGACCGCACGAGGTAAGAGGAGTTGGGGGACGTCTCAAACAGGCAATCTGGAAATGGGGGTGTGGGGCCGTCGGCTGGCAGGGGGTTTTGCGCACGAGCTCCAAATGTTGCCGTTGTCGGGGAAGGTCAAGAGCTCGCCGCACGGGACCACCGTTCCGCGTGGTCCAGCCGTCGGGCAAAGGCAGCGCCACTGCTTCGTACCAACAGCCGCCCCCTTTTGGCAGACGCCAAAGGACCACATCTTGCCGGGCGCAGAACCCTTGGGCATCGTGGGTGCGATGTAGTCGTCGGTCTTGCAGCGGGAGGCGGCCCACTGCTCTGCAGTGCAGCCTTTCCACTCCGGCCGGGACTGCTTCCACGGCTGGTACGACGGCATTGCCACCTCGGGGCCGGACGCAGCCGCCTGCGGCGGCGCCGGCGCGCCCGCGGGTAGTGCCGCTGTCCGCAGCCGTCTGCCGCCTCGCCCGCGCCGGCGGCCGCGGGCGCCGCTGCATCGGCGGGCGGAAAGTACGCGTGCATGGTGCAGCGCCGCTGGCGACGGCGAAGGAGGCGGAGCGTGTCTTTGCCACAGCCAATAAGAACGTGCGAGTACGGTCTTGTTTTGGGCAAAACAAGAACGTGATTGCATCACTCGCTAAGGACGTGAAAACAAGGCCTTCCCCAGGGTAAGTACGTACGTATTTCTGAAAATTTTCTTCGCGCGCTTACGCGCGCGACTAGTTCACGCCCTACGGGCGTGTGGCCTGCGGCCACTAAGGTTGCCAAGCTCTGCTCACAACACATTGCCTGCCCGACCTGCCGGAAATGCGCCCATCCTCACAACACATTGTCACGAGTGCGAGCCGCTCGCGGTTCGTACGCCCGCTGGCGGGTTCGAGTGGCGGGCCATCCCGCTTGCGGGATGGCTTAGCGGGTTCGAGCCGTCACACATAGGCTGCCGGAGTGTGCCGAGGGGGGGCTGGGTGGGCGGTAAGCCGTCATTGCCCGGCGCTGCTTGCAGCGCTCTGGGTGGTAGTGGCGGCGCTCCAAGAGTGGTGCTCTTGGGAAGAGGTTCCTCCTTTCCGCTCCCCCCCCGCAAGCAAGGCGCGAGACACATTGTCCAAAATACGTCAGCCTCGCACGCCTAGCGCTAGGTCTGACACCCGACCGCCCCCCCCCCCCCCCCTAATATTAACCGGTCAGAATACATTTTGGCCGGCTAATGTTAGGGAGGGGAGGCCGAAAAACGCAGACTTTTGTCCACCTACCAAGGTTAAAATCGTCTTCACAGCCATCGGTTTTCGCGCGAAAAGGCGCGCGCGAGAGATAACGAACGCGCGGAACCCCCCGCGTTCATGGCTGAGCCAGATGACCCAGAGCGCCGCGTGGACCCAACGTGCCCCCACGGCATTGCGTACACCCGCGCCGAGTTCCTCGACTTTTACGGCTCTCTGGAGTGGTGGGACTCGGCTCCTCGGGCCGGAGATCCTCGCCGAGGGCGGTGGTCCGAGCACGAGGACACGGTGCTGCGCGGGCTTGTCGCGCAGGAGGCCGGCAGGCCGCGGTGGACCCTGATCGCCCAGAGCCTCCAAAGCCGCAACGGCAAGCAGGCGCGCTCCAGCAGCCCCCCCGGTAGTTTTCCACTGTCGCACGCCCATTGCCTAGCCCATTGCCCGCCCTGCAGTGCCGCGAGCGGTGGCACAACCACCTCAACCCGGCCATCGTGACGACGCCGTGGACGGAGCGGGAGGACCGCATCATCCTCGCGGCGCAGGCCGAACTCGGAAACCGGTGGGCCGAGATTGCAAGGAGGCTGCCAGGCCGCTCGGATAACGCCATCAAGAACTATTGGAACTGGCAGCTTGGGCGCGGGAACCTGGGAGCTTTCGCTTGGGCGTGCGTGCGTGGCGCCGACGCCAGCAAGGTGCCGGAAGCCGAAGGGAGGGAGGCCAAGGAGACAGCACCATCCTCGGGCTTCGACTCCCCTGGCCAAGGGCGGGACGTGGAGGAGGTGGCGGCGGCGGCGGCAGTGGAGGAGGCGGTCGGCAGCCGGGGCGGCAAGACGCAGAACTTTCAGCGTCGCAGGCGCCGGCGCTGTGAGGGCGAGCCGACCCGTTGCCTCTGGGTCGCTTGCGACAAGTGCGACAAGTGGCGCCGGCTGCCGGTGGGCGACATGTCGACGTCGCTACCTGCCGCGTGGTACTGCTCGACGCGCTAACCCGCGCTTACCGAAGGACTCACGCAAGTGGAAGGGTTGGGACGTCGCGGTCTTGAGCACTGGATAGGGTCGATTCCGCATGGTACGGGACCCCTCGATCGTCTCGCCCTCCCTCTCTGGTGTGTTCATTGGGGGGGGTCATAACAAACACGTACAGGATCGAGGTGCACGCTGCCGTGGCAGTGTCGTCCCCCCTCCCTCTCTCTCCCCGACGGCGATGGCGGTGTGACCGATCGAGCTACAAGAGGAGCTTGTTCAGCAGGATCCGGGACAGGTCTGATGCACTACCTCACTGGGCCTGAGACCACCGAGACAACGCCCGTCACCGTCTCGGGTTCGCGTGTGGGATCGAACCACTCCGGGATGAGCAGGCTCATCGTTTTACACAAAGATATATGTCCGGTCCTACGCCGCCCTCCGCCCCGGCCCCAGCCGAGCCGGACGTCAGCGCGAGAGCCCGCCGCCTCCGCCGCGTCGCCGCCGGTCGCATGGCGGGCCTGCGACTCGTGCTCGACCGACTCGAGGACAGCGGCAACCGCGCGGCTGTGCTCCGCTCGTGCGAGGCGTTCGGCCTGCTGCACGTCCACGAGATCGTCGGGCTCCGCCCTTCGCAGCAGCCACGGGTCGCGCAGAAGGTCGCCGCCGCCGCCAAGCACGGCGGCAACCGGCGCATGCGGCGCGGCGTCGGCAACGGCGGCGAGAAGTGGCTCTGTGTCCACCGGCACGAGACGGCAGCGGCGTGCGCCGAGGCGCTCCGCGGCGCGGGCTTCCGGATCGTGGCGACGGTCCCTCCGCCCGAGGGCGACCGCAGCGACTCGTGGCACGACGCGCGCGCCGCCGCGGACGCCGCCATCGTCGGCGAGCGCAACGAGGCGTTGGCGCAGCTGGCGACGGCAAAGCTGGAGGCGCCTTTTAGTGGGAGTACAGAGACCCGCCCTAGGCAGCTCACCAACCGCTCCAGTCTCACTCCTAGGACGTCGACTTTGGGGAGAGGGTCGCGCTCGTGCTCGGCTCGGAGCGGCTCGGCATCTCCGCCGAGATGGCGCTCCTCTGCGACGGTGCCGAGATCACCCGAGATCACCCGAGATCACCCGAGATCACCCGAGAGATAGCCGAGAGATAGCCGAGATGGCGCTCCTCTGCGACGGTGCCGAGATCACCCGAGATCACCCGAGATCACCCGAGATCACCCGAGAGATAGCCGAGAGATAGCCGAGGTGGCGCGCTTCTGCGACGGTGCCGCCACACATCAGTCACTCGTTGCCACACACCTCCTGGCTCGGAGGACGGGCCCACACGCACACACACACCTCCTAGCATGTCAGTGTGACACACCTCCTAGCAGGGGCCACACACGCCTTTCGTCCACCTAGAGCGTTGCGAGTCGCAGCGCCGGGCGAGGACGGCGTACCGCCCACCTGCCCCCCCCCCCCCCCCCCTTGGGTGCAGGCGCCGCGACCATCCCTCTCTTTGGCCTCACCGAGTCACTCAACGTGTCTGTCGCCGCGGCGAGATATAGCCGAGATCACCCGAGATATAGCCGAGATATAGCCGAGTCGCTCAACGTGTCTGTCGCCGCGGCGCCGCCGCTCGCCACGGCCGGCAGCCGCCCTCTCGGAGCCTTCTCGGAGCCTTCTCGGAGCCTTCCTGCAGGCGCTCGTCGCCCACTACGGCCGGCTTGCGCGCACGCGGGCGCTGCGGGAGCGTGCTGGTGAAGGCCCGAGAGTCCCCAAGAGTCCCTGAGAGTCCCCGAGATTACCCGAGATTACCCGAGATTACCCGAGATTACCCGAGAGTCCAGATTACCCGAGAGTCCCCGAGAGTCCCCGAGGTTACCCGGGAGCGTGCCGGCGGCGGCGCAGGCGGCGGCGAGGCGCTGCTCAACGTCTCGGAGGGCGACCTGACCGAGGCGGAGGTGGAGGCGCTGGCGGCGGACTACTCGTCTCGCGGCAAGCGGTTTCTCGAGGAGGACCCGTGGGGGGAGGGGGCGCAGGCGGCTGCGGGCGCGGGCGTCGGAGCTGCAGGGTGGTAGGGTTGGTAGACGTGATGTTCCTCCGAGGGTGGCGCTACGGAGGAGGGCGAGAGGTGAGAGTGGTGTGGCGTGAGCAGGTGCGGGCGGCGGTGGTGGGTGCTGGCGTGCCGCCAGTGTTGGTCCAGCTCTCTGAGGTGCAGCCGCAGGACAAGTACAAATGATGCATTACTGGGCTGCGGCTGGGGTTTTATAGGCATTGTGGGGGCCGACTACACGGTGAGCCATACGGACCTTGCAGTAAACCTTTTCCTTCTAAGCAGGGCTACACAATGTCAATGACCCTATAGTGTGGGCGGGTGTTCCTGGCGAGTACGGGGTCACTGACCAATATGCGCGGTGTGTCATGCTTGCACGCGCCGGCCCCGGCCGGCCATCACAGCTCCACGGCTGTGGCCTTGGCCTTGAACGCCTCGACCCACTCGCCCACCACGCCTGACGCCGCGTGGAAGAGCTCGGCCGCCTCGGTCTTGATGGCCTCCGCCCACGGCTCGGTCGCGCCAAAGTGCCGCTGCGGGAAGCCGAGCTCATACATGTAGCTCGTCTCCTGCGGGACACGAATTCATCACTTGATTAATGGACCGATGGATGAAGTTAGTACTGCATGCAGCTCGTCTCCTTGTCGCCGCCCGGGGAGTACCGCGTCTCCTGCAAGGGACGTGTCGGGCGCATGTCAGGGACGTGTCGTGCACGCATCTCAGGCTGCTGCCGCGTCGCCTGCCCGATGTTGAACAGCCGCAACACGCCGCTCATCCGGTGCCCGCCGTCGTTCTCTCCTCCTCTCCCGCCGCCGCCGCCTCTCCCGCCGCCGCCGCCTCCGCCGCCTCCGCCTCCGCCGCCTCCGCCTCCGCCTCCTCCTCCTCCGCCTCCGCCGCCTCCGCCGCCTCCGCCTCCGCCTCGGCTGCGCAAGACGGCGGACCCCTCCCACGCGATGACGAGCGTGAGGTCGTAGAAGAGCGCGCGCGCCTCGCCTTTGAGCTTGACCGACGCGTGCACCTCGCTCTGCGACGGCTGCAGCCCCTTGACCACGAGCGTCGCGCAGTGGCTCTCGCCCGCGTGCCTGTGGGGCGTGTGCATGTGCATGTGCATGTGCATGTGCATGTAGCATGTGCATGTGCATGCGCATGTGCATGTGCATGTATGCATGTGCGTGTGCATGTGCGTGTGCGTGTGCGTGTGCGTGTGCGTGTGCGTGTGCGTGTGCATGTGCATGTGCATATGTGTATGCATATGTTATGTTGTCATGTTCATGTGCATGTGCATGTGCATGTGCATGTGCATGTGCATGTGCGTGTGCATGTGCATGTGAATCAACTTCAAGTGGCGAACTAACTGACTCGCCCGCGCGCCTGTGGGACGTGTGAATGAACTCTTCGACTAGCTGACTAACTGGCCGCGAGCCGCAGCGGCTCTCTCCAGCGCAATCTCGTCACGCTCCCCCGGCAATCACGCCCCACAATCTCCCAAAGTAGTCGTGGTCGCGTGTGATCTCGCGTGATCTCGTGTGATCTCGCGTGATCTCGCGTGATCTCGTGTGATCTCGCGTGATCTCGCGTGATCTCGTGTGATCTCGCGTGATCTCGCGTGATCTCGCCTCTCGGTGTGCGTCAGCCCGCGCAGCCTCTCGGCCAGCCAGCCCGCCGCCCAGTGCGAGAAGTCGACCTGTCCAGTGCCAAGGAATGGTGAAGAATTCACCCTTCTCGGCCAGCCCAGTGCGAAAAGTCGGACCTCGCGCAGGTATCCGCGCGTCGCCGCCGCGCGACTCGAGCGCGCCAGCGCCGTCGGCGCCGCCGCCTCCGAGGCCTGCGTGGTGAAGCTTGAGGGCCTCGTTACCGTGTACGCATCGCATCGCATCGCATGCACACAGCGGAGACAGGGGCGAGGGCGTCTGTGTGTTCTCTACCGGCCCCTAACGGCCCTACGCCGCGGCGTGAGAGCTCGGAAGCGAGCTTCGCACGGCGATTGCGGTGTGGATGGCGAGGCTCACCCCCGTCACCGAGGCGATGGAGATGCGTTCCGCGTGGTGTGGCACAACCGGGAGGCGGGAGTGGGGAGGGGAGGCGGTGTACATACAGCGGCGCACGCTCCTCCTCCAGTGGCGGGTGCAAGACAGCAGTCTCTGCTTACTCCCTCTCGGCTCCGGAGCCTGGCCCGCCGCCGGCAGCGACACACCTGCGGCCCGCAGCTTGGCGGCGCGCGCCTCGCGGTCACGCTGCAGCACGGCCTGAGGGGAGATATGGGGAGATATGGGGAGATACGGGGAGATATGGTCCGTCTCGCGGTCACGCTGCAGCACGGCCTGAGGGCGGGCGCTCCCGGGTCACCTCAACCTGGTCGAGTCTCGGCGAATCTCGGCGAATCGCATCGAGTCTCATCGAAGAATCTCGGCGAATCTCGGCGAATCGCATCGAGTCTCATCGAAGAATCTCGGCGAATCTCGGCGACTCGGCGAATCTCGGCGAATCTCGGCGAATCTCGGCGAGTCTCGGGCCTCGGCCGCGTCGTCGTCTGCGCGCTTCTCGAGCGCCGCGATGCGGCGCAACTCGCGCGAGAGGAGGGCGGGCGCGCCTAGTCCCGCACCTCCACAGTATCGAACCCAGTGTGGGTTCAGTCCAGTGGGTGGTGCGGTATTGCGATGCGGCGCAGCTCGCGCTTGAGTGGGGCGGGCCTCGGGTCATCTCGGGTGATCTCGAGAGACCTCGGGTGATCTCGAGTGATCTCGGGTGATCTCGAGTGATCTCGCGCCTTCCGGGTCGACGGCGATGGCCGCCTCCATCGCCCGCCGCGCCTCGGGCCACTGCCGCTCCATCTCGTGCGCGAGCGCCTTGCGGTACTGCACCTTGCTTAGCACCGCACAGCCGACACCCGCCGCCTCCTTCTCCTCCACCTTCTTCTCCGCCGCCGCCTTCTCCGCCGCCTCCTTCTCCGCCGCCTCCTTCTCCGCCTTCTCCGCCGCCTCCTTCTCCGCCTTCTCCGCCGCCGCCTTCTCCGCCGCCGCCTTCTCCGCCGCCGCCTTCTCCGCCTCCCTCAGCGCCGCCTCGCAGCAAGCGAGCGCCTCGCCGCCCCGCCGCAGCTTGAGGAAGGCCGCCGCGTGGTTTGAGTGCAGCACCACCCTCGCCGCCGCGCCTCCGCCCCCGTCGGCCGCCAGGGAGAGCGCGCGCGCGTAGCACGCGGCGGCGTCGGGGTACTCGCCCGCCTTGAAGTGCGCGTTGCCCGCCTCCTTCGCCGCCGCCGCCGTCGCGTGCCCGTGTGCCCGCTCGAGGTGAGGAAGCTGCACCGGGTCCCGCCTAGCGGGAAGGTTCCTGGAACTGTCCAGGAGAGGCCCTCGGAAGGGCCGGCTCGGCCGCTGGACTGGGTCTTCGCCGCTTCATGCGGCCGCCAACCTCGGCCTGCAGCATGTCCTCCTCCCGCAGCTTGAGCCGGTCCTTCCCGCCCTGCATCGCCATCAGCGCCTGCGCCAGACGCGGGTCCTCCATCACCTCGCGAGCCGCCGCCTGCCCGTCGAGCGCGCGCAGCCGCTCGACCGCCGCGCGGAAGCCCGAGTCGGCGACGTGCGGCCGCGTGTCAGGGTGCGAGGCCAGCCGCTCCCAGATGTCGACGGCGCGAAAGATGGCAAACGGTGTGCCGGCGATGTCGGCTGGTAGCGGACCGTCGTACACGATCGGCTCCTCCTCCTCCTCGGCTGGCGCCGCCTCGCCCTGCGGATCATCTGCCGGCGTGTCGGCCAGCATGCTCGCGACAGCTTAGCTGAGGTGGAGGCGGGAGCGGCGCTCGATTTCTTTTGTTTCGCGCCGTCGCACCTGTTTGAGTTGATTCATTAAATTCTTTGTGTAGGGCCAAAAATCTGAAATTGCTCGTGGATTTTTTTTGTTAAGCCGCTGCAAATCTGGCCACTCGTTGCGGTGCCCAGCCAACTGAGCCCAGGATTAGCCCAGCTGGCCCTAGAGCCAAAACACGTGATTCACCTCTAGAGCTCGCTCTCGCCTCCTCGGAGCCTCAGCCAAAATCTGTCGCTCCAGCGCCGTCGTCCGGGCCCACGACCGGCTCGCCATCTCGATTTCCACTCGCCCGATGCGCTCGGTCTCTGCTGACGGCTGCCGCAAGAGCGGCTGGTTCACGACAGCGTCTTGCCAGTTGTCGGATGGGAGAGTACAGGACGTCTGGAGTGTAACTGTGTACGTGAGATCGGTCTTGGTAACAAGCACAGTCGGTCTATCGAAGCGATGCACTCGTTTCCGTTGCCCTTCGAGCTTGACACAGAGCTCAGCGCGCCCCGCAAAACAGGAAGAGCCATCCGGCAAGAAGATCTCGATAGGGAGCGAGAACCGTTAGAGGTGCTCCGAGAGGTATCAAGACTCCGTCATGACGCGGTAAGATCACTCCAAAAATGACCGCGCAGATGTCGGATCTCGTTGAGATATCTTGCAAAATCTGCTCTTCCCGAGCCGGCAGCACGCAGAGAGTCGCAGAAAGGCTACGAGTGCTCGACGAGTTTTGAGACCTGCGCGATCAAACCTGGGGGGAACTGACCGCATCAGGACGGACGTCCGAAACCTGCGTGAGCACCTTTGACGATTCTCGCTCCCTATCGAGCTCTTCTTGCCGTACGGCTCTTCCTGTGTGTGCTGGCACAGAGTTCCGTGCAAGCCGTCCAGCGTGACGTGACGAGTATATCGCTTCGACGGATCGACCGTGCTTGTTATCAAGACTGATATGACGTACACAGTGACACATCAGACGACACATATTCTCTCACCCGGCGGGCCGCAAAACGCTCTCGACAAGAGCCACACAAAGCCACCCGCACGGCAAGCCGCTCGTCGGACAGGCGTGCTCGATCGATGTCGGAGAGCCAAGGACAAGGCCGGAGGGCAGCCACGCAGAGTGGCGCCACTTCTCGAGCGTCGGCTTGCGCCTCCACCGCTTGCGCCGGAGCGCCGCAGCCAACCGTGCAGCGAGTCGGACAGACCCCGCTAATCCGCCTCCAGGGTTGACTGGTCTGGACAGACAGATGCTGCTCCGCGCGGCACGACGCGCGTCATCTCCACTCGCGGCCGTCACCACGCCACGAGCGCCGATCCCAGCAGGTATCCGCTTCGCACAGCCGTCCCTGCCGCCACTGCCGAGGCTGCTCAGCACCCAACCGCGCAGCCAGAGAGGCGAGAGAGGCGCACTGTTTGCCGATCTCAAGCGGTGCCGCCATCGAGAGGATGTGGCGCGGCTGGAGACGAGGCTGCTGCCGCTGCGGACCACAAAGGAGTGGACTAAGCTCATCTCGGCTCACGCCAGGGTCGGAGACCGCCGCCGCGCGTTTGGCATCCTCGACGAGATGCGGCAGGCCGGATGCGAGCCAGACGTCTTCAGCTACAGCATTCTCATCAACCTGTGCGCAAGGTCGAAGGACTGGAAGACGGCGGTGTCGCTGCTGCGCGAGATGCCAGGCGCGGGAGTGCCGCCGAACGAGGTCAGCTACAACGCAACCATCTCTGCGTGTGAGAAGGCTGGCCAGTGGGAGAAGGGTGAAGGCGCTGTCGCTGCTGCGCGAGATGCCTGATGCAGGCGTGTCACCAAACGTGGTCAGCTACAGCGCAGCCATCTCTGCGTGCGAGAAGGGAGGGCAATGGGAGGAGGCGCTGTCGCTGTTCGACGAGATGCTTGCTGCGGGAGTGCAGCCAGACGTGATCATCTACAGTGCGGCCATCTCTGCGTGCGAGAAGGCTGGCCGGTGGGAGAAGGCGGTGTCGCTGCTGCGCGAGATGCCAGGCGCGGGAGTGCAGCCAAACGTGGTCAGCTACAGCGCAGCCATCTCAGCCTGCGAGAAGGCTGGTCGTTGGGAGGAGGCGGTGTCGCTGCTTCGCGAGATGCCTGCTGCGGGAGTGCGACCAAACGTGGTCAGCTTCAGCGCAGCCATCTCTGCGTGCGAGAAGGCTGGCCGGTGCGATGAAGCCTTGTCGCTGCTGCAAAAGATGCGAGAGGACGGCTTGCAACCAGACGTGTACAGCTTCAACGCAACGATTCAGGCGTGCGCGGCGGCGCAATGGCCTGATGAGGCGCTGAGGCTCTTTAAGGAGGCGCTGAGGTCGGTCGAACCAGACTGTATCACCTTCAACGCGGTGCTGGACGCTGTCGCGTCGCCGCAGCCGGCCATTGCTCGCGAGCTGTGGCTACAGGGCTGTGAGCGTGGCCTCTATGCCGAGGTAGAGATGTGGGAAGCCGGCGCGCCGGTGCTAGACCTGCACGATCACTCGGAGGGCGCGGGCGAGACGGCACTGCGGTGGTGGCTGGAGGAGCGCGTGCCAGCGCTGCGGCCGAAGCCGAACCGGCTCATCATTGTGACTGGCTGGGGCAAGTCGCGCCGCGCCGCGCAGGTCAGCGACCTGCGAGGGCGCGTGGAGGGCGCCATTGCGGCGATGGGCGCTCCCACGCTGCCGAGCGATAATCCGGGGAGGTTGGTCGTGGATATGCAGTCGTGGACCGATAGGTAGTTCGCCCGGCCGCTGCCAGTTCGCCGCTGCCGCCCGATCCATTTATTTTTTCGTCTTGCCTCGAACCTGTGTGCTGGTGCGAGAGAGGGATTCACGCCACTTGGAGCACTTGGAGTGCAGTCATCAGCCTCACATCCAGGGCCGAGGAGCTGAGAAGCGCACCCAGCGGGCCGGATGAAAGAAAGAAAGAAAGAAAACAGACAGCCAAGGGAGGGATGGGAGGACGGCACGCCGCCACCACACAGGGATTTTAAGGAGAGGAGTGTGGTGCGCTAGCCGTCGCCCACCCTTGTCGGGATCGGGTTGCGCGCTAAAATTCTTTCCCTCGCCGAGTTCACGTCCAAGCACGAGTTCCTACACCAGGCGCAGCGGCGCTTCACGACGGTGGTCCACAACAGGAACTGGCGCGACCTCGCCCTCGAGCTAAGGCAGGAGGGCTCCGCGGGATCGCGGTCTGCTCCTCGCGGCAAGAAGGGCAAGGCGCAGGCCAGGGGCAGGGAGCGGGCGCAGCATGCGGCTTGGCGGGAGGCAGTCCGCTTCGTGGCGGTGAGCCAGGATGGCGCCGGCGCCTTCCTCAACGCCATCCCCATGCGGGATGATATGCGAATGGAGACTTGGGCGATGCGTCTTACGGTGCAGCGCCGCCTGGGTCTCCCCCTCGACGTGGCCTGCCAGGCCGCGGCGGCGGGCAAGAAGACTCGGAATGGGAAGACCCACGACGAGCTCGGCGACGCTGCTGTCAACGTACCGCAGCATGGCCACAACACGAGACACAAGTACACGCTTCGACGCCTCATCCTCGCCCTGCGCGCCGCGTGGGGCACCGCTGTGCGAATGGAGCCGAAAGCCCACCTCGGTCAGAGTTACAACAAACAACCCGACGTGGACGCGGACAACATTGGCTCGCACGGCACGCACTATTGCGGGGACGTCAAAGTCGTCTGTCCCCTCAGCAGCAGCGGGGAGCACGGTCGGAAGGGCGCTTTTGTCGCTTTTGGCAACACTGAATCATTCTACCGGAACATGGTCGAGGGGCATGGGCCCTACTGCGAGGAGGGGGAGGGGGGGAAGGGGGGGGGGGGGGGAAGGGGAAGGGGGGGGAAAAGAGGAGGGGGGGGGGGGAGGGGTACCGGGGGGGCGGCATGGAGGGGGAGAGGAAGAGCAAGGGCGAGAGAGGGCAAGGGACCGGGCGCTGGCATACCAGGGGGGGCAGGGTGGTGGGCGGCGACCGCCGCATACCGTCCTACGGCGGGGACTATCGCTACGCCAGTGAAGACAAGGGCGTCGAAGTGCAGCTGCTGCTGTTCGAATCGTTCGGCGGGTTCGGAAAGGGGGTCCGTGAGATCCTCAGGAAGGCGGCGGACGTACTACAGAACAAGCTGACGCGGGCCCAGTACCTCGATGAGGTGACTTGGACCACCAAGAGCTGGCTGGGGCTGCAGAAGCAGCGCATCTCAGTCGTTCTTCACACGGCAATCGCAGAGCAGATTGTGAATGAGCTTGCCTGTGGCGGGGGTGGGCGGGTGCACGGAGCTAAGTGCCTCGCCACCCTCGCAGGAGTCGCTTAGGCGGCTCCCGTGGTGTACCTGTGTTAATGCCAGTGCGAGCCAGTCCCGTGCCCAGTCCTGTGCCCAGTGTCGTGCGAGGGAGTTTTGTTGTAAAATTCTTTTCTCGCGATGTCTGCCCCGCCGCGCCGCCGCTCGCGCCGCCTGGCCACCGCCGCCACCGCCGCCCCCTCGCCAGGCACGCCGCCGCCCGCCCGCCTCCTCGACCTCCCCGCGGAGCTCCTCCTGCGCGCCCTCTCTCGCTGCGACCCCGCCGACATCGCTCGCGTCGCAGCCGTCTCGCTACTCTTCCACGCCTCGCTTGCGGTGGAGGCCATCCGCTTGTGGGCACAAGAGCGCGGCTTCGAGCTGCCGGCGCAGCCAGAGGGCGAGAGCTGCGCCGTGCGGTGGCTGTGCTTCGCTGCGCTGCTGTGCGAGTCCAACCCGCCGATGAGGGCGGCGGCAGGCCTTCAGCACAGCCTCTTCATCGACGGCGAGGGGCGGCTCTCGTCGTGCGGAAAGGCTGAGAGGTGGATGCCAGGACTGCTCGGACATGGCGAGGGCGTGACGCAGCTCAACACGCCGACACGCCTCCCTTCCCCGCTGGGCGGCGAGCGCGCCATGAGCGTGACGGCTGGACAGTGGCACAGCCTCGCCATCACCGCCAGCGGCAGCGTCTGGGCTGGGGCTATGGAGGCAATCTGGGCCACGGCGACGGGCAGGACCAGCAGCTGCCCAAGAAGATCGAGGCCTTTGCTGACCAGCGCGTCGTCGTGACCTCGGCTGGAGGGTTGCAATGCCTCGCCCTCACCGCCGATGGCGCTGTCTGGAGCTGGGGCAATGGAGACTTTGGCCAGCTGGGCCACGGCGACAAGCAGAACCAGCTGCTGCCAAAGAAGGTCGAGGCCTTGGCTGGCCAGCGCGTCCTCGCCGTGTCGGCAGGGCCTATCCACAGCCTCGCCATCACCGCCGACGGCGCCGTCTGGAGCTGGGGCAATGGAGGCTATGGCCGGTTGGGCCACGGCGACGAGCAGGAGCAGCTGCTGCCGAAGAAGATCGAGGCCTTTGCTGGCCAGCGCGTCGTCGCTGTGTCGGCTGGAGCATTCCACAGTATCGCCCTCACCGCCGACGGCGCTGTCTGGAGCTGGGGCCGTGGAGACGACGGCCAGTTGGGCCACGGCGGCAGGCAGGACCAGCTGCTGCCAAAGAAGATCGAGACCTTGGCTGGCCAGCGCGTCGTCGCCGTGTCGGCTGGAGGCGTGCACAGTCTCGCCATCACCGCCGACGGAGCCATCTGGAGCTGGGGCTGTGGAACCTATGGCCGACTGGGCCACGGCGAACTGCAGGAGCAGCTGCTTCCAAAGAAGATGGAGGCCTTGTCTGGCCAGCGCGTCGTCGCTGTGTCGGCTGGACTAGTCCACAGCCTCGCCATCACCGCCGACGGCGCCGTCTTTACCTGGGGCAAGGGTAAAGACGCCTGCCGAAGAGCCTGCCTAGGCCACGGAGAGGACCTGTCGATCCAGCTGATGCCCAAGAAGGTCGAGGTGTGGGCGCCGGGGCAGTGATGAGAAGGGCGAAAGGATGGGTGTGCATGTCGCGGAGGCTTGCAGAAGATGGGGGAGGGGGAGCGCAAACGAGAACCGAGACGCTTTGGCGCGGATCACTGGGAACGGAGTAATACGAAACATTTTGAGCAACACTTCAAGCAAGCTTTCGAACCTCGGCGCCCGCCCTCTTTCTGGCCGCGTCCCTCCCCTGTCCTCTCGACTGCATTCACTCTTTACATACATAAACTCTCCCCTAAGCCTCAGCCTGCCGCTCGCATTCCAGCAGCCCAAACGGTCAATCTGCGCCTCAAAGCTGTGCAGCCGTGACCTACCCACAGTCAATATCGCATGTGTGAAGAGACGCCAGCACACCGCCCACGCGGTGCAGGACGGCGACAAACCGGTTGGCACTGATGTACTGCGCGTTGCGCCGCGAGCAGTCGTAGTAGTTTAGTAGCAAGAACTGCTCGATCGCCCACCGAAGCCGTAGACTTCCACGTGTGCGCACATCCGCAGCGCCACAGCGACGGCGAGGAGTCCGGTAGAGGGCGTCCTGCCGACGCCCGCGAGGAGGCGCCCATGCACCTCGTGACGGGTCCCGCCCACCGGAGGGACGGACCTCCTCCTTCCGCAGTGCTGTGAGTTCCTGGCCGCGCTGCTGCGTGGCGATCCGTGTGTGCTCAAGGAGCACGGCATAGATGAGCCACCGAGCCTGGTCATCATGGAGGCGTGCACCGTGGCCAAAGTTGTCAAGATGGACGTGCTCGCCGCCCTGCTCGAGTCGCCGCGATTTGAGGTGCTGCAGCTCACCAAGCCGCGTGCGGAGGCAATTGCGGCGTTTGAAGCACGTGGACGTGAGCATGACAGTGGAGCTGTCAAGAATGTGCCTGCTGCGACGGTCCATGACAGGTATTCGGGAGAGGTTGACCGCATCAAGGAGGCGCTCGAGGCGCGCGCCGCAGCCACAGGGAAGGTGCTCAAGGAGGGGTGGTGGCGCTGCATGCCACAGGCAGAGGCGATGGAGGTGGTGAGAGCACGGCTCACACAGGCGGCCTGATGGTAAGTCCCCATAAGGGAGCATGCCCCAGAGAGAGAGAGAGGGGGGGGGGAGATTTGTTTGTCTCTTTAAATTGTGCGACTCATCTCTCATCACTCTCAAGTCTCATGCACACAAAAGCAGGAGAGAAGAGTTGGTTTTCAAAAATCTCTCTCTCTCTCCGCAAAAGCACAACCCTCAGGCACAACCCCGGGCCCGAAATTGCACGACAGCACGAGAAGAGTAGCAGCACGACACGAGTAGCGATTCGGTGGCGGCTACTCTTCTGGTTGCTGATGGAGAGAGACAAGGGAGAAAATACCAGTGAAAAGAAACCAAGGGCCGCCATAAAATATTCATCTCACGACGTGGCCCGGAACCCTCGCCAGGGTGAAGCCCTGGCCTGCACTGTGGCAGTACAGGCATGCCGCACACCCAGCACACCTCCAGCGGCGAAAGCATGGCTCGCACACCCACTGCTCACAACAGCGCATCTGCACCCACTCACACATAGCCCGCTCTGGCGCGGCGGCGGCTTCGGGGTCCTCCGAGGCAGAGGCGACATTGGAGGAAGAGGTGGCTGCCTTGTTGTCGACAGCACAGGTGGTGGGAGAGTTAGCGTTGGGTGCCCCGGTGGGAGCAGATGACGTCCCTGTGCCGGCCGGACCGTGAAAGCCGCGAGCCTCGAGCCGCGAGCCGACCGGCGCGAGTGAGCCCTTTGCGGGTGTGGTACACGTCGGAGCGCTCCCTGAGCCACTCGGCCGGGGAGCCGCACTGTTCGAGTGCGTCCCGAGGCATATGGCACACAAAGCCACCGGCCTCTCGCCTGGGAGCTTGAACGGCCCGTCCTTTGCTACTGCCGCCGCCAATGCCGTGTCGAGGAGGTCGAGAAGGAGCAGTTCGACATATTCCGTGTCCAGCTTGGCGGCCCTTTCTTCCCTGTGCGTGGGTGGCAGGTGTGAAAGGGCGAGGTGTGGACACGTGCGTGAGGTGTCATGGCGGCGCACAATGCTCGCGCCGTAGACTTGTCAGAGGCGTGAAGGCGCTCCGCAACGGCGCGCAACCCTGAAAATTGTGGGTCGATGAGCGCTCGGGCATAGTCCATTAGCCTCGCTTGCGCGTCGGCAGGGCTGCCTCGCAGCCGCCCTCCGAGCACCTGCAGAAGCTGCCGGCCCAGGGAAGAATGGTTCGCGCACTCCTTTTCCAGAGCGCGCCAAACTGCAATCGCCTGGCTCCCGCCCAGGCGATCGCCCAGATATCTGACGATGCTACGGACGCCCGGCCGGACCATGCGGTCGACATGGTCCGGCGTCGGCACCGTCGGACGCAGCCTGGCTCCGTTTTGATCGGTGTCGTCGTGCATCCCCCCCCCGGAAGAGCAGCACGAGCCGATTCGACTCCGCGAGGCTTTTCTTTAAATTCTTCTCCTCGGCTGCCTTCTTCCCTTGAAATCCCTTTGTGGTGGCGTGCCGTCCTCCCCATCCCGGCTTCGGCTTTTTTTCCCGAACGCCCGCGTTCGAGTGCTAGTTTGCGTTCTTTTTTCTTGGAAGCCGCCGGGAGGGCCACAAACCCATGGTCTGCAGGCGGCGCGGAAGCTCAACACAAAAACCTTCTCCGGAAGCTCTGCGGCCGCGCTCTGCACACTCTCCGACAGGTTCGGCACCGGGCACCGCCTTGGTATACAAAATGCGCAGCCTGAGGGCCCAACTTCAGAATCGTGCTTTTTTGGTCTGAGGGAGGGTGTAGAGTATGTAGAGTGTAGAGAGAGCGCTGTAGAGCTGTAGAGCTGTGGAGCGCTGTAGGGTCCCTAGAGCTGTAGAGCTCTGCCTCGAAGAGTACAAGGGAACTATTATGTGCCATGCACAGGCGCCAAGGGGCGCAGAACCGACCTAACCCGTCGGAGGTGGGGGGAAGGGAGTACCGCCGGGTTCCCCTGCGTGAGCGCAAGAGTAACCCCGAGAGGGCTGAAGATGAGCGGTACGCGCAGGGGTCGGCGTGACGGGGCGAGGGACGCGCCGCGCGGGGCGCCGCCTCACCGGCCCAAGTGGCGCAGGGCGAGGCGGCGAGAACCGAGCGAGCACGTCCTCGTGAGCCCCGTGGCTCCAACCAGGCCCTTCCTTTTTTTGAGCAGGTGTGACGCCGCGCGAGCGACGCTCCGAGATCGCCCGAGATAGCGCGGCGCGGCCCCGAGATCGCCCGAGATAGCGCGAGATCGCCCGAGATAGCGCGGCACGGCCCCGAGATCGCCCGAGATCGCGCGGCCCGAGATCGCGCGACGCGGCCCGGGGCGGGGTGGATGGGTTGGGAGCGAGGGGGCGGAAGTGTTCAGTGCGGTAGATGGCGAGCTCGAGGCGCGTGAGCCGGACTTGTGAGCCGGACCACCCCCTCTTGTTATCTGCGTTGTTGAGCCAGGACTCAACATACTCGGGCTTGCTCATCCCAAACTGTCACTCCCCTTTCTCCCGGCCGGGGTGGGGCGCGCGCGGGGGCGGCGGGTGTGCGACGGGTGTGAGGGATGTCTGTGAGCCCGAGAGCGATATGCCATGTCCGCCTTGCGTTGTTTCATAACATCGAAGGCTAAGCTCAAAAAAACAAAAAAAAAACAAGTTCCGGGGGAACGCCATGGTGCGGCTGAACGGAACCTCTATCTGCACCTCGAGCGCGAGCGCGGCCGCTTCAAGAGGGTCGTGCTGCGCGTGCGGGTGTGGGACTGGTTCCGGCTCGGGGCGACCGACGTCATCGAGGCGCCCCATGAGGATATGATCAAGAGCTACACCTCCTTTACGGAGGCCGCAGCGGCGGTCCACAAAGCGCTCTACAGGAACGCCGACACCGCCCCAGAGAACGTCTGCTGGAACGACTACGTGGCGTACATTCGGTCCAGCCTCCCCCAGTGCAGCGACTCCAACCGCGCCCACAACCCGGCGGGAGACGGCCCCTTCAACAGGTCGCGCCGGCGCGGCACGCTCCCATGCCGCTTCTACATTGAGGGCATCACCTCCTACACACACGCCTCGCCGGAGCTGGCCTCCGTAAAGATTGATTCGCTGCGGTTCAGCGACGGCTCGGGCGAGTGGGTCCGGGCCGGTCACCTCCGGCCCTTTGTGCCGGACGGGGTGGAGCTCGCCGAAATCGACCCGCTCGTCCGGCGGCAGATTCGGTTTGATAAGCACCATATGCGGCGCAGCAACTCGCTGAACGCGGTGCGCAAACGGTCGCGGCACGATCGCGAGCAGGAGGAGGAGGAGGGCCAAGTGCCGGAGGTGGAGCTGTATGGGGATGGTCGGCAGGGCAGAGCAAGGGAAGGCGCCTCTAGAGGGAAGCACTTTGTCGCGGGCGGCGCGAGGGCGGCAGGGGTTCGCGACGTCGGCGCGTATTCGTCAGTACGGGACGCCGGTAAGCGGCGCGCCGATGCGGAGCACGAGTCCTTCAGCCGCGGCGCTAGGTTATCGCCCGGAGACGAGGTGCGGGCCA